GGCCGAGCCGAGCTCGCCTACGAGCAAACTATTCGAGCAGAAGCTCGGCGCGTTTTGTATCGAGCCACGAGCTCGGCTCGTAGGGCAACGAGCCGAGCTCGTGGGGCAATGGGCCGAGCCGGCTCGGCTCAGTCCATTGCCATCACTAGTCTCCGCCCTGCTACCCGTCCTGTTTAAAATTAATTTTAAATTTAAGTTTTTTATCAAACAAAAATAATAGATTTATCATATTTTTAAAGAGAACATAAGTTGTCTCTAACAAATTGGTAAAAAAATAATAATATTTACTAAGAAAAGATATAAAAAAAAAGCAAAAAATAAATGGGACAGGAGATTTGTCCCGCTCCATCCCACTTTAAACAGGTATGGAGATGGGGCAAAATAACAAAATATCCGATGGGACGAGAGTGAAAATGATCGACCCGTCCCATACCCGTCTCGTTGTCATCCCTAAAATTAATATTAGAGTCCACATTTATTATGTGTATACAACAAGAAACATACAAATTATTTTGAATATACTAAAGGTGTTTTTTATATAGATTTAAATTTTCTTTTTTTTTCCAACTTCATTAGAGAGATTTAAAACACCATAAATATCAATCGTCCGAGGCTGTAGCCAAAAGAGATAAACAGGTTTACTTAGGAAATTAGAATAATTTTAACAACATGCTCTACACTCAAAACCAGAACACATATGACCCAATAACTAACCAGAGTTGCTTCAATGGACTGAACAACAAACCTTGACAAAGTTGTGTTTATCTCACAGAAAGAATTAGAAATCTCTCAACCTCAAGTTGAAGGGGGAAAAAGTGTGAGAAATGGCGTATCTGAATGGAACGAGGATTAGGGCAACATAGAGTTGTATTTATACTCTCGCTGTCGATCGTTGATCAAACTGTCCGGAGCAACTAACAACTTAAGAAAAGAAAAAGGCTTGATTGAACGATCCGCCAATAGAAGAGAGATTGTTGTATCTCTTAGTACCTCCAAACCTAATTTCTTGTAGATTGAAAAAGGCTTTAAATTTATATATACTTGCTTCGGAATCACAAAAAGCACGAAAAATATATCGTTTCCCATTGAGTAAGGAAATTTGAGACTCCTCATCCAACGCGATGTTCTCAGGAGGAAGTTTGTTGAGTAAGAGAGCACTGCACTCCTCATCCAACGCAATGGTCTCAAACTCATTCAATCTTTTTCTTTGACGACGTTTTCTTCAAGAACTTTGCATAGCTTGTAATTTAATGAATCATATGAAATCTGACAGTTAATTAATATTAGGTAGTATTATCAACAATCGAATGACCAAATCAATAAATTGATTTTATTGTGACTTAATTTTCTATTGAAATAAATTTTTAGTTTGACGGTCGAAAAAAAAAAACAAAAGATTGTTAAACACGAGTCTACGTGGCAATGGATCTCACACCTCCACAATTTCTAATCATAAAAAACTATAATTGATCACAAATGTAAACTTCACTGCCATCTAGATTGATGTTAAAACACATGACGATGAATAGCATATCATTACTCAAAACCAAAGGGATCACCTGAACATGCACAAATTCAGGGCTTGGTCCAATTGTGGGAGGCTGCTCTACCATCAGGGTAAAAATTATTGAATTGAGTACACTTTAATAGTAAGATAAACAAGTATAGACGATTTTGCTTATCCATAACTATCAATTATTTTGCATTCAAAACTTTCGATTCCAAATTTTTTTTTTTTTTTTCAAACTGATATAAAAAGGCATTAACGAATGAAAATAAACCTAATGAATCGATTCGATGACAATAAACTGTTCTATACAATTCTTTACAAAGAAAGCATATGTTTCTTCTACAGTATAAATCAGCATGCATATTAAAATGGTAAGAGAGAGACGGAGAACCTACTTCTCATAATGTAATTGGTTCTACAGCTTTGATGTATACACAAATGTGAAGATAATGCTCGGGGTTCATCAAATTGTTCACCACCCAACCAAAGGGAATCTCCATTTTTGGTTCAATTCCCTGAATACGCAGGAGCTTTATCTCAGCAGTGTCTGATGGAGACCCCACATATTCAGTCGAGGTTACTCCAGCTTCTTCAGAGGTCCTCGAGCTGCTTACCTCTTCCGATTGTTGTCCATCCTCCATCTCCGCTTTAGAAACATTATCAGTGAGTACATGTTTGTCTGCAAATAGTTCAGGTAATAGGGCTTTTACTGCATCGTACAAAGTGAAGCATTCTCCTGCAATTTGAAAACAAAAAATGCATATAGCTTAGGCATATGAAGAATTCATTACCTACTAAACCATGACTAATTTAGTTTTTGTTTGAACTATTTAATTAGATACTAGTCTCTTCACTTTTTTTCCTAAAGAAAATTCAATTCTTTAGCACTCATGATGTGATAATCTACATGCATTACAATCTTGCTCGCATTTATATTCAACAAGGTTAAGAACTTGTACAGAAGGAGTCCAAGACTCTTTTACCTTCTGCCTGAATCTCAACAGGTCGATTTATGTAAGAGATTTTGTCCCAGCTATCAATAGTAGGTGCATCTTCTAAATCGTCAATATCTTCATTGATACTCCGTATGTACAACCGAACTGGAATTCTACCTGATGAGTGATGAGAGCAACAAATCTTAGAAAACAGATGAATAAAGATATGTCCCAAAGTGTAAGCTCAGAAAGGTAATAAGGATTTAAAACTCAACCATGATACAGCATCCATCACTCATCTAGTTCATCATCATATTAAAAGTTGCTTTGAAGCCATTTTTCTGTTACGAAAATATTTCTTTATAAATTATGTTAGCTAAAAACTAAGTCGGCTTCATGTGGACTCCAAACTTCTAACACTTTTAAGTTAATCAGCAAGAGTGTACTTGTTAACAAATAAAGATTCATCAACAACTGTCGTGTCCGATTTTAAATAGTATGATTATCCTCCTTTTGATTTAATTATTATTCTCATCAATTATTTGTGTTTGTAGATATTGTTATTCTAGCAAATTTACCAAATATGAAAATCCTCTGAAACCTGAAAGTTAGTATAAAACAACATTTTTGAGAAATTAAGAATATACAACTGGAATAATGAATAAGTGCTACATGACTTCCGTGCTATAGGAATATTCCTATATGGTTAAACTCTACATAAGTCAGAAGCTATATTTTATGGTATCGAGTTTGGACTCTTGAAGGATAAATGTCCAAAAGTTGAACATGGCTGAAATGAGGATAGTGACATGGATGTACAGTTCTACTAGAATGGTAAGATAACAAATCAGAATATATGCCAACAAGTGGAAACGACACTGATTTTGGATTTGGGAAGGACAAGTAGATGGTTTGGTATATCTTGCATAGACCAAAAGTGGCTCTCCTTCGTAAGAGTGATTCAATCTCAATGGACGAGGTAAGAAAGAGACTGATAGACCGATTAGTACATAGCTGAAATGAGGATAGTAACATGGACGGTTCAACTACAATTGTAAGATAAGTAATAAGAATATACGCCAATAAGTGGAAACGACACTGATTTTGGATTAAGGGAAGGACGAGTTAGATGGTTTGGTATATCTTGCATAGACCTAAAGAGTGGTGAAAAATGATATATATAATCAGTTGAAAATTGATCAGAAATGAGGCATAGTTTAGTTTTTTTGCTGTTAACTTACTTCAACCTGTTGTTCTCATATAGCTTCCTCTGATCTGACCCCCACAATAGTAATTACTATGTGATATAAGAAGAGCATTATGCAGTCCTCATATCTCCCAAGGGTACTCATTTTTCAGGTTTGAAGCAACGAAGAAAAGACAGTGAAATGCAAGTTCTAAAATTTACTTGATATCATAAAAAAGTATCACCTGTTCTGACGGGGGCAATAGCATCTGTATCACTAGTGCTTTGCCGAGATTTCAAAGTGGAGTTGAATTTCAAGGAGTAGTCATCTCCAATAGTGCAAAGTTTAAGCTTAGATGAAACTCGAAGGTAAGCTTCCATGTCACCTAATATATAACATGATTTAGTAGAAAATCCACATGCCAATTAACAGGATAACAAAACTAACACAAATAAAAACATAAACCTTTTTATGTCTGGACTCCCCTACTCCATATCTTTTATCTTCGAAAGACTAATACAATCAACATTTACAAATCTATGTAGCAAAAGAAGTTCCAGTGGAATGTGTCAGATGTTTTTATTTAAGACTGAAGGTATTCTTTCATTGGCATTTAGTATGATCACTTTTTCTAAATCTCATGTCAGAAGTCCACTTCCAGAAACTTTCTTGTTCACATAACATATTTTATAGCAAAAGCTGCAAGTTCAGGTGCCGGTTATAGTCAAGAAGGTAGGTTTATTATTTATTCAAAAATAATAGCCAAAGCATAAGGCGTGCTCATTTTCTAATCCACACCAAGTAGCCAACAGTCTATTTCTCGAAATGTACATTCGCAAGGAAATATAGTATATCATGTTCAATAAGTACTTAAATGGGAAAAAAATAAAAATAAAAAATAAGAGAGAGAGGAAGAAAGTAAGATAAAGCAAAGATAAGTCAGGAGCTACATAGAAACAAATCATTTAAGCATTCAAGTAATTTAAGACAAGCTCCATACCGTTTAAGACTGAGCGCCAAAGATCAGTCTGATCAGATTGAGACATACTCATAATATTTTTGCAGTTCCCAGTAATTATACAAGCAGCCTGCAGAGAAGTTTAAGCAACAATAAAAGTTAGACAAGCACTGAACATATTAACATTTTATGTTCCACGTTCACTCAAAAAACTAAAATAAGATAATGAGATTCTGAACAAAAGGGAATGAAAAAGAAATTAACAAGAGAAGAACACAACAGTAGACCAGTATTTATTGTATGTCAACCAAGGCCAAGTGTTTGCAGTATAGGTCACAACTCACAAGTATGTTCCCACTTTTCATCTTACGAGATTGGCTAAATTTTCTTGCATTTGTTTCAAAAAGGTGAAGGCGTCAAAATTTTTAATCTTTCTTTTGCTCATCCATCATTATTTCAGTGTCATCAGTTGAATTAGCACAAGTTTCAGCAAGAAGTCTTTGATTCCAATGATTTTCCACTTTTTTGTCACAAAGTGATCCTCTCCCCCGACAAATTTACCAAAGAAAAAGAATCATTAGACAACAATCCCGTGCACCAACACCTCCCAAAACCCACGACAAAGTAACTTTCCGCCACTATCAGAACTCCAGAAACACTGAGCCCTCCCACAATCATAACCAATGTAACACCATTGCAAAGCAAATGCTGAACACCTTACCATATAGCTTCAAAAATCCTGAAACTATAGCCACCCGTCCCCAATTAATCACAAACAGCACAGATGGCTAAAGTGGGATAATTGAAATACTATCTTTACAGGCATGACTACCAAAGTAATTCACCCTGATGTGGTCATTCCAAACTACCCCTATTTGGTTGAAAAATTTCACTACTAATTCCAACGCCAGTACCATCTATAATGCTCAGACTCGGATACGAGTACGTATCTAAGTGTCGAATCTTTTATATTATAAAATATAGGATACGGAGACATGGATAAAAAGAGTCTAAATTTCAAACACGGGTACGTAGGTACGTCTTTCAAATTTTGATTTTTTTACTAATCTAGGATGTCATTTCGAATAGACCAAGATTAATTATTCACAATAAAGGAAATGAATATTTAATAAGAGGTTAAGACGAATAAAATAGAATTTTGGGATTTAGTTTTTCAATTATGGAAATTACTAAATATTACATAAAATAGAAAATGAGGAGCTTGATTGTAATTTGGATTTAGTGGAGCACTAAATAGCACTATATGGAACACATTTTCATTTTATACAAACAAAACCCTAAACCACCGATACAAAGAAAGAAAGAAGGAGAAAAAAAGAAGAAAATGGAAAGCAAAAATAAAAGAGGAAGAAAAAGAAGGTAAAAACTAGCGCCACAGCCTTTCTCCACCCTCTCGGCGACGACACCAGGTTTATAGAGAGCAAAAGTAGGAAAAAAGAAAAGGAAAGGAAAAGGAAAAGAAGAAAAAGAAGCAAGAAGAAGAAGCAAAAACGACGAAGTGTTTGGTTGAAACTTGAAGGATCCGACACATATCTCATACCCACCCATGTCGTATCGTGTCTGACACGAGTACTCCAACTATTTTAAAGAGTTCGAGCATCAGAGAGTACCATTCAATCTCCCAATGACATGTGAATCAGCTGAAAATAAAAAGAAAGAAGGATCACCATGATTACCAGCACTCAGTCCCATAACCAACATCACCCCTTACAAAGTGAAAAAATGTAGTTGAAGCCATAAAACAGGCCTTTCCACAACCAATAAAGGGGCAAGCTGATGTCAACATCAATTATACCTTAGCAATTCAACTTGTCCCCACATGACGACAAATATTTAACTACAGATTAACTGAAGGGTTGTTTAGAAGGGGTTTTGAAAGAGATTGTTGGTCATGTTTAACACCCAGAGTTGAGTGTCCTGAAAATAATTTGGAATATTGGGTTTATAGTGTTCAGTTTTGTTGGCTGTAGTTTGAAAGGGAATTTGGTGGTGATGGTGGTGTAATGTTGACAGAGTAATGGCTTCTTCTTTTTTTGTTAGTTAACTCATTGATGAATATTGTTTAAACAATGTGATTAGTTTTGTCACATGTCACCAAGGAAAAACATCAAAAGAGAGAAATCACAAGACTGAAGGAAGAAAATAAATGACAAAGAAAGGAAACAAGTGAAGACAACTGTGACGAGGCACAAGACTACAAAAAGAGAAGGAAAAGAGCAAAAAGAGGAAAGTAGGAAAACTGAATTGCATATTAATGCTAAAGATGACGCTGGGAGTATAAGAAAGTGTAAGATTTTTGTAACTCGTGTTTCAAGCATTGCATTAAATTGTGGGTCCACTTAGTGTGTAGCTCCATATGCTTACTGTTTTATGGATTTGCTGCTTCATGTTAAAAAGAAAAGGGAGAATATTGGCTAAAGGAAAAGGTGGGCGCCCAACACGTAATGGCAATTGAAAAGAAAAGAAACATACAAGCGAAAGGAAAGTAAAGAAAGCAGGGATTACTGGTGGCATTGAATGGGCAAAAAAAGAAATTCAAGAGGANGAAAGCAGGGATTACTGGTGGCATTTAATGGGCAAAAAAAGAAATTCAAGAGGATGAAGACACAAACTTGAAGAGGAAGAGAGAGAGGATGTCAAGACTTGTAGAGCAGCAGATTCTTGGAGGGACTTGGGAGATGAAATAAAATAAAAGAGAAAGGCCGCCTGACTTGGCAGATGAAGCAAAAAGAGAAGAGAAAGGTCGCCTACAGTTCATAGGAAGGCAATAAATTCAAGCTTTCTTCAAGCTCCCATCTCGATGTGGTTGGTCATATCTATCTTAAACCGAACTTGAAGATGAAACCTTATTTAATAAGGTATTTCTCTTTTTGTTGTATTAATTCCATTTACATGTGCTCAAATGTATATAGTTCTTGTTTCAAGTGATAATTAAATTAGCTTTTCTTTCATCATAAAAATCATATATTTTTCATAGTTGGAAATTAATTAAGTAAAACTAGGTTTTGAATTTATTGATTACCTTTTGATTCTTCATTTTCTTATTGAATTTCATACATAGAATTCTTAGGATGGGATAATAATGTTATTCTGTTTTATTTTCACCAGATTTGGTACATAGAATGCTTAGGTAAATCTATTCAACAATGCAAAGAAGGACATAAAAGATTGTCTGGTATGGATTTACTGTAATATTTATGAGCTGACAATTGAGTTCTCACTCCAATTTCAGAAATCGATAATTAGAGAATTACTATATTAACAAGTGGTAGATGATGAAATCTTGGTAA